GGACAGGGAATTTAGGTTGGCTGCAGAATTATTCTTTGAAAACACTAAGCAATCTTCCTTTGACTGAGATGTTTTCCACTGGACACAGAAATAGGTTCTGTGCTGGGGGATACTGAGGATAGAATTATTGTTCCTTGGGGTCATATCCCACTTACAGGTGGAATAATTGCTCCCATAGTAAAGATGAGAGGAAGAGAAGTGATTGAATAAAGGATCTCATACAAGAACTAGATCTCTCAGACCACCTTCACCAATTCACTTCTGTTCTGAGTTCCAAGTCTCTGCTAACAACGTGTGCTGCACAGTCTGTGTGGCCCCATTGCACAGGCTGTGTGCATTCTGCCTCCAGTGGCCTTTGTGCACTAAACTGAATCCTTGTCCCGCAAACATTGCCTGGGCTAAAGAACTTCTATCGCACTAAAGAATCTCTGAGTTCACCAGTAATAAAATATGGAGATTCTCAACAAGATTTCTCATCATGGAAATACAATTAGAGCATTCACTCTAACAGTGACGACAGCTCCAGGCCCAGGCAACGAAGGCAAAGGTGGATGAGAGGACTGGAAGGACTTGTAGCTGATGGTCCAAAATAACAAGGCATTATATCAGGCTTTTTCTTATTTTCTATACCTTTCCAGATGTCTCAATTTCTTTTTATGTTCCTGCAAAAGTGCAACTTCAGCAGAAGGGAACACTATCATTTTTTAAAGCAGGACTCTCAAGCTGAAGAGAAATTAATTTTGAGTCTTCTAGTCACGAATTCTCTAATCACTAGACTGCCAGCTCTAGCTTCTCACACTGAATATTGAATAAAAAAAGTCCTCCTTAAGTCTTTCAACTAGTTCCACAGGTATCTCCCAAGTAGTCTTTGGATTCTGCGTTCTGAGAGGGTGGGCATATTCCCACTTAATCCTGATTTGGGTGCCTATCCCCCTGATAAGGGACAGCCCTCATGCACCACCCTGATGATTAGAGCAAGTCAATTTGTCTGAGGTACCTCATTGTCTCCATGTGCTGAATAGGGAGCCTAGGTATTTAGTTCCAGGTCTTGGATACCAGTCTGAGGCCAGGCACTTAAGGTACAGCTGTTGCAGCACACTTCACCTTTATTTTGTCAAGCATATATTTCCATTTTTAGGCACTTAAAAGAAACAGGATCAGTGCATGTTCAGAAACACTGAAATAATCAATATTTAAGAGAGAAGCCAAAACATGACTTTGGGTACTAAGAGCACCCTACTGCAGTGTGGCTGCTGTGCTTCTCTTGCTTTTCAACTTTTTCTGATTTAAACTAGATTTTTCTCCCTTCTAGCTATTAAAGTTCATGCAGTTAGGAGGGCCAAATTCACATATCTAGAACTGTCTAAAAGTCAAGAGAGAAACAATACAATTATATTCAATAACATTAAAAGAAGATAAAATAAACTTCAAAGCTCTTGGGAACTTCACACACCCTCTGTGGTCTTTTTACATAACTGCCTCCCCAAGCTCTCCCAGAAAGAGATTTGTATCATTGTGAGGAATTTTCAGTACAGGCTGAAATAATAGCTAAAAATGAGCTGAGTTCCAAATCCCACAGTGTTCCAAAAGTTCCAAAGAGCTTGGAGCCTGAAGGATGTAAAAAATCAGACAGATGGTACAGATTCATCACTTAGAAATTCATTTTCAAAACAGATGTTTTACTAGACAACTCCCAAGTCTTATATTAAAAGATACCCACCAGAGTTCAAAGAACGCTGGGCCAGATCCCCTCAGGTCTCCCTCTGATGACTCAGAAATATCATGATTAGACAAATGGGGACATAATGGAGCCCCATCAGAACACAACGTAACATGACCATGTAAGGTTGTTTCTCTTTTGCACGAATCAGGCTATTATTTGCTTGATCAGCAAGTCTGAATCCAAAAGTCAGCTTTACTAGAGGGTTCATATTTACAGCCAGGCTTTGAAGTTAATCCAGAAAAGTCTGTGATTCTTCTTGCCCTTTGCACAACGTCTGTCTCTATCTTTGCTGGCTGGTTGGGAAATTTGGGCTGCTTTATTTACTCAAACATGTCTAACCATTGCACGTCATTTAACTGTTATTTGTTATGGGAGTTTGAGTTTTAAGGTGACAGATTACAACTGTCAAGAGACAAGGGGTCAGCTGTTGTCAGTTAAACTAAGTGGAAGAGGAAGGAGTCACTCAATACATGACAGATATTTTGTGGCAACAAAATATACAGGCTGATCCATATAACTTTGATTAAAAACATGAATTATTTCATCCTAGCATAAATCAATCATTTTCAATAAAATCCTTCTCAGGTTTGCATTAACATATCTATAAGAAGAAAATACATCATGACAGTGTGTTCTTGGCTTTAATGAGCACAAACAATTTCTTCTGCAGATCATCATGTCTTCATTTAGATTATAACACAGTTCAGGAATGTTGTATGTCACCATTATCCTGCTTTCTTTGGCATATGAAAATTTTGTACACTAATTGCATGTGCAAAAGAGGTTGGGATGTTGCTGTAGAGACTTTCCCCTAAGCTTCTTTACAAAACCTTCCTGGTTCGCAATCACCACATCCTGATTATTTTGACTGCATTTTAATCCTCAGTTTGAATTTGCAGATTTCAGCCTAAGTAACAACAGTTGTTTTTTTAAATATACTTCAGTTTACTTCTGGAATAACTTCAGGAACTACAAGTTTGCAGACTTACTAGGAGCAGATTGTGTCCTTTTTAGGAAACTGTGCTCTACAGTCTTTTATGGTGATGGCTGTATAACTGTTAATTTTAAAAGGGGCTGTGAAAATGGGAACTGTTTTGAGACGAGTGGGAGGAAGGCAACCAGAACCTAGGACACTATTTACTGTCTCTCTCTCTGCTTGCATGTGAAGCAGGGATCATGTTATTCCAGCAGCTATTTAGACATAAATGGGAGGATACAACAATTCTCTGGGGACTACCTTTTCCTACTTAGGAAAAAATCCTGTTGCTTTAAGTGAAGTTTTCTGAGTCTTTATAAGACTTGCAAGTTACTATTCAAAGGAAACAGAAATGTTTACAGAGAAAAGGTAAAATCACGGCCCATAAAAGCCTTCTTTGATACCAAGGGTGTGTAAGACCAGTGGAGTAAGCAGAAGATGTTCTGTAGGAGTGTTTCCCATGAGGTCTCTGCACCCAGGGAGTGTACAGGATGGCTCATCCTTGCCCCTGCCCACAGGCTGGTGTAAGGTTCCACCTCTGCCTGGAGCTCACTGAGTGAAGGGAGGTGCAGGCATAGCAAGCAGGATTTATTAAGGAGCAAGGAGAAGCTAAAGGGACTGCAGCACTGGCACTGTCTGGTGTGTTTGCACACACCCATATCCCAAGGCCCAGCTTTGACCCTTCTCCCCTATACAGATCAGAAGGAGAGCAGAAAAGACACTTCAAATCAGCTGGATAATGCATATTCTGAAGATACCTGTCTTGTCACTGTCTATAGTCAGGCAACCAGTTTTGGCATCTAACTTTCAGATTACTAAAATTATGTGAAGTGAGTCTCACTGCTCCTGCTTTAAATGTGCTACTGAATTTCATCCTTGTTCTGAACCAAAGTCAAGCTAACAAAGGTTACATCCAAGAAAAAGATTCTGGTTTTAGTAGGAATCATTAAGAAAAGGAGATTTCATGTCTTCTGTAGCTAGCTTGATCCAACTGTTACACATCTTCTGTCACAGCCAAAAACTCAGAGAAAACTCTCTGTTTCTCATTACAATTGTTTAGCTTTAATCTCCTACAGTTATTTCTTGTTATATACTAAACTGGACTTAGAAAAATCTTTATGAGGCTAATTCCCACTGAAATAGCTGTAAATAGCCTAGAAAATTGGCATCTAAAGATCTGTGCACAAGGTCTCATTTATGAGTTTGTTTTTTCACAAGACCTTGTTTTTGCCCCTTATGGAGTTAATTAGATTTCACCAGCAGAATGATGAAGAGAAAGACTTGACTGGATTGGGAATAGGTTGGGTTCAGTTCCCAATAAGGTAGCTAGCTAAAGGAGCTAAGCTTTATCTTTTGCTTGGTAAAAAAAATTATGAACGCTCACTGTGTTATTGCTTGCACACTGCAGTGCTCAAAATTGTCACACATTGTTCCAGTCAAAGATAATATCTCTGCATCTCTGCTTGTCTCTATGTGTTAGGAACAGTGAACTAGTGCAGTTAAGTTCTTACCTGAACTTAACAAGGACTAGCCAGTGTGGGACTGTCAGTCTCTTAGCGGAATTAGAAAAAACTGGAATAAAATTCCCATCCTATTTTCCAACAGATGCATTTTTCCTATCACTGCAGAGATGCTTGCATACTGGCCCCATGCAAAATTTTGTAAGACCTTTGCAAAAGCTTGCACCAGAAGATGTCCATCCCCGTTCTCAGATTTGGAAGGACAGAGAGACATTCAAGCTGCCATGTTTTTGTGTTTGAACCAGAATATGCCCTTTTTCCACACTTTTTCCATGGTCTGCACTGTCCCTTCCCTTTAGTAGCAAGACACAGATTGTCACTGTGTGAGTGTTGTATATCATATGAGTTTGATACATATTACTCTTCCCTAGATTAACAGAGAATGAATAACGATGAATTTTTAAGATGGACATAGTGTATGCTGTTTGGCTCCAAGAAAAAACTTCCATTGGGAAAGACGTTACGAATACAGAGCATATCATGGGGGCCTAAGAGATTATTGATTTGGGCCAGTCCAGGAAAGATGTTTAAAAATAACCTTGGAATTTCCAGGTAGGATTTAGGACATAAATTTGAGAGGGAGTGCTAGGGAAAAAAAGAAAAGTAAGCAGCATGCATACAACCTGGACAGGAACCAGTGAGATGTTACCTTCAAAGAAAATGGTAGCAAAAAGCATTTGCATTTGACCCATTTAATTTAATAATTTATATTTTTAAATATCTGGTCAAATAAAATATACAGGGGTCTTTGTGTGTAGACAGAGAGCTTTGTGTGTATTACCTCCAGGAATGTTTGTGCCCAGAGCCGGGACCTGATTTTTAGCGCGGCACTCTTTCCTCTTTCCAGTTGTCCCACAGTGCATGAAATTAGGACACACTTCACGTTTGTACAGTTCTGTGCACAAAACAAAGGGAAGTCATACTCATGCTTTGAAAATGTATAAAATCATAAGTAAGTGAAACCAAATCAACTTTCCCTTAAAGAGCTAAGCAGTCTGAAATCATTAATTTCATGTAATATACATGAGGTACCCCATGAGTCATTGTGAGAACTATAAACCAAAGGGGAGATCCTTTTTGTGTCACCAATGGGTACAACCACCTATCTGTAATAATGAAGATAAAAGTAAAAATTTTCAATAATATCTGCTCCAAAGAACTCTTTTAAGATGTCTAGGTATTTACCAATCTTTTGAATCATGCGCTTTGTCTTCACCTATCAGTAATTTTATGATTTCAACACTTTTTTTCTGCTCTTATGCATGGAAAAGTGTTTATTCATGTTCCTAAATCTTTTCTAACTCTCCTGATTTTCCCACTGATATTTACATTATAGCAGCCAGAACATTTGCTGAGATTCATTAGTTGCTTTACTTCAAACATATTGTCCATGAAACATTCCTGATGAGCAGTGATTCTGGCCCATATACAGGTTGGAAAGCAAAAGCCAAGCAATGCAACTCAAAACTATATACTCTTAAAGTCTGCCAGAAAAATGTTACAAAAAAGGTTAAAAGCTGACTGGAAGCCACTGAAGGGAATGAGCAGAGTCTTTTGGGGTAACCACAGAAATTATGTGGTTGTTTAGTGCATAGAATGGGAGAAAGATCTCAAAGAAAAATGATTAAATGTGTGTACAAAAAAATAAAAATGTTTTATATATACAAACGGGTTTTATCTGAAAAGTTTTTGTTTAATTCAGGAGGAAGGCTGAAATTTTAATTGATTCCTATTTTTCTAACAAAGCAGAGAATCCCTCCCATGACAGAAGGCCTTGTGACCTCAAATGCAAAGCTAAGTTTTCACAAGTAAGTATATTCCCTAGTGAGAGTGAGAATGCACTACCAGTGCCCATATTTCAGGAAATGAGATGATGATGTATGGAACCGATCTGAAAACACTCTTAAGGAATCCTCTATCTTTATAGACAGCTTTCCCACAAATCTCTATCTTATTGCAGGATAAGCAGAAGTTGTATGCTTAATTGCTGTTTTCTATATCTGCCTGAAAATGAAACTGTAAACTCTGGAACTTGCAGCTTTAAACTTTTTTTTTTTAAATGAATAATTTAAAGTATCTGTTTATTTGGCCTTAAATATCCTCCAACCAGATTTATTTATGTTGCAGGACGAAGAGCTGTTTTCATTAATATAGTGGCCAAAATCACATACTAACAAAATAAATCATTAGTATGCAAAAAGTCTACTTTTGGCTGACATTTTAAGACCTGAACACATATTTCTGTTTTTTTAAGTAATGCATTTAGCCTGTAGTGATTTTCAGAACAATGTAACATTAGAACTAATAGAAGAGAAACCAAATGTTTAATAAACAGTATGAATAGAATAAGAGGTTCTCAGAACATTTTGTCTCTCTGTGAAAATTCTTTGATGAAAATAACAGAACTTCTTCTAAAGAAAAATACAAATTTTAACAAATAATTATCTTTGGCCAATCAGTCTTTTCCGAGAGCAGCATTCATTTTTCATGTATACTTCTATGGTGTCAAATAAAAAAAAAATTTTTGCATCTGTAGCACATAATGTTGAAGGCACACAGAACTGGGACACCTTCTAACTGAACTAATGACATTGCTTTTCTATGCTCATCTGAAAAAGTCCTGTTATACGTCCAGCGGTAAGCACTATACCCAATCCTATCCTAATTTGTGCTGATCAAAAGCATATTGTAGTAGAAGACTGCTCATCAAAGTGCCAATTTCACATTATTAAGTTCTCAGCTAAATATATTTGATTTGTCTACATCAAGCAGCTGAAAATTCTCTGCTTCATATTTTAAGTTGCAGGCACAGTGCATACTTCAGAATTTTGTTAACCACTTCCAGTTGCTTCAGTAATTTTTATGTTCGCAGCCTATGGGCCTAATCACTAAGAAAGATAACGAATAATTAAGGTATTACTGAAGAATAGATTATGTGTTCTGTGATATTGACTGGCAAGTCTTCGAGAGCCCAGGCATTTTTCCTTCAGCCCCAATGGAATCAGATTCTTTCCAGGGTATTGGGTTGATGAAAGAATGACATAGGAATCAAGAGTTATTATTGTTTAAAATGAGTTCATCTGTGATTTTGTTCTTAACAACATTATGGTATCCATTACTTTCAGATTCTATCTTCTTCCTGTTACAAAAATTGCCAAATTAACTTTCAGAAGCACTCTAATTATTCTATTACTCCAGAAGACTTAGGTCTGTGAAGTTCTTTTCTTCCTACCAAAATTCTAGTCATGTCAAGGAATTCAAACATGAGCTTGCAGTAAACAGCTTAATAAGAGACTGGAAAACATGAAAGAAACTCTGCCTGAGGTTCATAAAAATAGATGGAAAGCACTGACTGCATGAATCCTTTGACTGACCTCAAGGTCACCAAGTTTGAATGCTGCCTCTAGGCAAGGGGAGCTGATACCTACAATGCTGAAGTATGCCAAGGATGGGACTTTGAATACAGGAATGGAAAAAAACAACTTCTCAAAATATAGCAAAGTCTAAATACTCAGGTACCAGACTAACTAATTAAAGCTGTTTAGCTGGGAGAGAAATCATTCCTCTTGCTCCAGCATTGTCTGGATTTTTAAAAATGCAGTGACCTGTACCATTTGCCTTGCTTGTGGTACTGTAAAGGGAGAGAGAGAGTCTCACTTTCCCATGTGTATGTAAGTACTTACTGGGGAGAACAAATATACTGCAAACTATTTGTCTATCGGAACTGTTATTCTACATGAAAATGTTAAAGCGTGAGCTACTCCTTAAGAAAGAGCCAGAATGCTTGGAGTCAAGTTAAGAAGAGATCTAGTTTTCAGAAGTAAGAACTTGAAATTTATTTTGTGGATGAGAGCCTCATTCTCTAAATCAGTGATTAAATTCCCTGTGATAAGTGTGCATGACCACAGAGGTTTGTCTGCAAACAGCCTGGAGTCAAACAGCCAGGAATTTGGCATGCATGATCTCTAATGTAAAAATCTGTCAAATTCTCTAACCTGGGGAATGGTGATATGTAATAAACAGCATTTTAAATTGAGGGGTTAAAATTGCTTAGAAAAATATTTAAAAGTTTGTAAATAAATTGCAGTCAAATCAACAGCCACCTTGATACACTGCATGCACAGTCGCAGTTTATAGTTTTTAGACAGCTCACCAATATTTTTGCAGAGTTTTTCCTGTGAGGTTCTGCCACTGCAACATCCCTTCTCCTGATGTAATGAGAAATTGTGGAATTATACAAAAAAGCAGCAAGTTCAGGAGTGTCTTGTGGAATAGCAAACTGCAAAGACAAAAAATGTGAATAATAATGACATGCTTAGGAATGATTCTAACAGATTTATTCCCTCTCAGAGGTCTTGAATTTTGGATTAACACTGTTTTTTTCAATTTAACAGCACAACCATGAGAATATACTATCTTCAACTAGGAGCACAATGAGTAATAGCACAGCAAGATATCGCTCATTTATAGGAATTACAGTAGATAATATTTTTTCCACTTTTTACTGATGTCAATTTCATTGTTTTACTGAATTTTATTAGACTCTTGGGGCCAGATTCTGATATATATGACAGGATAAATTCCAAGTTGTCACACAGAAATCTGATCATTAGTTCAGATCACAATCTGCCTATTGAAATATAATGATTTTACCAGTTTTAAAAAGTAGGAAAAAAAAAGGGAAATCTGACTTCAAACAACACAATTTTTGATCATTATTTGTTACAGATTTCTTTTCTTCAGCTTTATATTTACAGATTTTTATTCTCCAATTAAAACCTGCCTTTTTTTTTTTTTTTGTTGGCAATTTCTCTTTAATTTCTACACAGAGCATTTATGGTTTCTTTCATGAAGCCTCAAAGAACTCCTGGGAAACAGATGGAAAGATAAATTTTAATTCATGACAATCTAATCATGTAAAATCAGAATAAGATAGATGTGGAAGTTTCCAGTAAGATTTCAATAGGAACTCCCCTAAACATAGCCAAGACTGTTTCTTAAGGATCTCAGATTATCAAGAGTTACATCAGATCCTTCTTATCAGTTCCTTTAACCTTGGAACACAAAATATCTTAAACAAATCCCTAAAGAAAATGTTTGTAATTGTAATAAATGTTGTAGCACTAAAGGGAAGAGAATAGCTATAAACACACAAAATCTTCCACACATTAATGCTGTGTAGTACTAGATTTGGAAAATTTGTACCCTTTGACAGTCTGAGATCTTCAGTCAACAGCATTCTAAAAAGTGAAAGATACTGTAATTAATTAACAGATGAAAACCCATTAACAAAAGCAAGAATCCTCTTTTTTCTGTTGTTTAATGAGGTTAACACTGTTTATTTGCAATAAGGGAACACTTAAGTGGCTAGTACATCTCTCCTTTTCAATGTGGTAACATGGGAATTCTCCTTCCAGAATTCTTTCACCAGCATATATAGGCTTCTTTAACGATGAAAAATTAAAGAAACACAATATAATGATACACCTGTATAGAAGCCAGCAATATGTGATCAGAACTGGTGTATATGTAGATCCATTTGAACACAAGATGATTTTCATATTTACTTTTTTTTCATATATCCTAGAGTGTTATCATCTTCAGTAATGAATTATTACAGCAAAGGTTTGAAAACAGCTCTCTATGGTTAAGAGAAAACATACCTGTCCCCTGAAACAATTTAAAATTAGAATTTCTACAGTGGCCTAGATGTTCAGTTTAAAGATATTATTTTATCCTTCTTGAGCCAATAGCATGGAATTGTACAACTCTATAGATATTTTATATGCCACATACTTAGCACACTATATCTTAAATGGACTATTGCTCCCTCCCTTCAACTACAACAGACTGTCTCAGCTTCCCCACCATGGAAAACTGTACTGCTTTCTTCTTCTGAGCCTTATGACTTTGAGCAGGTTTACAGATCTCCCTAGTTTTTCACTTTTCATTTCAAAACACTTTTTAGTTCTTCTCTTTTTCTAGCCAGGCAATACCCTCTGCTGCAATGGGTAACTCCATCAGAAATGTTCTGGAAGAGGACTTTAAGTAAAAGCTACTGTACAAGAGGTGTCAGTGACCATTGAAGAGCAATGCACTGGATGGTATTATTTTGTTCCAAGACCAAGACTTACACACTATAAAAACAGTTTTGCAGTGTGAGGAGACAGTGGCTCTGGGAGAGGTTAGCTCCTGCCACTCATGCTGGTGGATATACCTTGCCCATGTGGTGGATTTTAGCTGCTATTTCACTGCTTCCCTGACAGGCGCCTCACTCATGGTACTTCAGTTCTCAGCTATTGAGAATGTGCCATGTGTGTCACCTTGTATAGTCTACCATGGAAGCTGGAAGCCTATACTTGTGGTATTAATAGGTATAGGTTTCATAAAATTGCTTTTTGCCATCAGTCTGGGACTAAAAAACCAACTCATCAGGAATACTGGCTCAGGTCATCTAGCTGAGCCCTCTTCTCACCTCAGCTGCCTTTAGGAAAAGTAAGAACAGGGCATACATACACAATACTCTCCTAATAACTTTCAGCTCCCAAATGTTTTCTGCTTGGGGGCTTACTTATTAGTATGAAGGTTTTATTCATTTACTAATCTTCACTGGATTTCTCTTTTGTGAATTTGTTCAGTTTCCTCTTAAAATCATGTAAACTTTTAACCATGACTACTTTTCTTTGTCCACAAGTTCCAGACACTTAAGACCTGTCATCATGAACCACCACTTCCTTTTGCTTGTTTTGAATCTGGCTCTCCAGGCTTCAGTAAGTATTCCATTTCCTGTGCAGGAATAGGCAGAGGACAGTAAATCCATAGCCATGCTTTTCCCACCACTACTCATTTCGTGGATCATATTTGTGCATAGTCACCTCCTTTCTAGATTGATGCATCCTACTGTACTGAGTTCTTCTGCAATGCAATTCATTCCGTATCTTTGATAAGTACTTTTGCTCCTCTTTACACCTTTTTCAGGATTCATAATTTTATTATCCTTTCAAATCCCTCGCTGCCTTCAGAGAAAGCTAAGCTACAGAAAGGGAAAAGTCCCCAGAAAAGAGTCTTCCCATGTGTGCACAGGTTTGATTCATTTTTGTGGATGAAACAAAAAAGCACGAAGGAAACTTTTTTACAAGATAAGAAATTCAGCAATGGGGAGGAATACACTTTGACTGAAACTGAAAAGTCTAAGTAATTTCAAAGGGGAAATGACCCAGTGCCCTAAGAGAGCTGAGTTCAGAAATCCAAGAGAAACCAGGCAAATAACATCCTCGGCCTTATTTGGAAATTTGAGCCAAGCATCTTGCTGTTTATACAAAACCTGAAGGAAGCTATCTCTGCATCCTCTTCCCATACGAAGTAATAGATAAGCATTACATATTTAAAACCTGATTGGTGTATTCATGCTGTTCAGTGCTTTGAAACACTGAAGTAACAAAAGGATATTTAAATTCTTGAAATAATAATCATGAATCTAAAGCCATATTCTGCTAAAACAGAAGGACCATTATTATAGGAAAATTTCTCACAAGCTTCTCAAGAATTTAGTCTTGTTTATGTAACATGTGCAATCATTATCAAGTAGGACAAGCAAGAGCAAACTAAAAAACAAACAAAAACCCAACCAACCAAAACAAAACAAAAAAAAACCCACCAAAAAAACATTGCCTGAAAATGTCCTTAAGAACTGTGGCAGTATTCTACTCAGCTTCTTAATTCAAAACTAAAACAGAACACAGCGGCTAGGGAGGGAGGATGCTGAACTTCTTTACTCTTTTTCTTGTGCTTGCAACCTGATCTGAGCAGTGAGATTGAGATGCTACGCTTTCAAGTACAAATATAGCACCTCAGCTTCTTCCTTCTTACCGCTTTTGAAAAACATGTGGAAACGAGGTGGAAAAGATAAATAAAAAAAAATTCCATTTCCAAACTTCTTGTGCTTTGCGTATAAAAGGCAAACATTTCCTGTCCTCTGTTTCCTATCACTCATATCTCCTCTAGAGAGCTAAATAAAATGGTGGAATCCTAATCCCTCTCTGGTTTCCTGGGTGAAACACAAAAAGCTAGCCATAATGTATTTGGTATACATAAATTTTTCTTTATTCTTTTAAGTATGTATTGTTGTTCTCTCTCCTTAAGCTAAAGATTTGACTTGTAGCTGCTGTGGTTATGAGCAATCCCCATCAATAGAAAGATGTCTCCACTTTCATCCATTATACTGAATTCAAAACCCTCCTGGTATGCAAAAGACGTAAAGCACTTTTAGCACTTAGAATGCAGGTCTCTCTGTAAGATGTTTAACAGGCTACTGGTTAAACTTGAAAAGTGTTATTTACTTCAGAAATGTCTGGCATCAGTTATGCTTAATAAATCGGATACCTTGTTTTTGATGGGATAATATGTAGAGCTGTGTTTTGGTTAATCTTCTGACTTTGAGCCAAACCAAGCTCTTTTGGGGGGATCTGCCATCACAAACATAAATCATAAAATAGGAAATTGTCCAAGCAGCCAGGGATCAGCTTAGAAAACTAAAGCCCTGACAGAATTAAGTCTGGCAAGGGACATCAAGGGCAATAAGAAAACCTTCCATGCGTACATTGGTGAGCAAAGGAAGATAGGGAAAAATTTAAGCCCTCTTCGGAAAGAAACATGAGACCTGGTTACCCAGGATGGGGAGGACGCTTAGGCAATCAACGCCTTTCAGTCCCAGTTTTCACCGGGAAGTGCTCCAGCCATGCTGCCCAAGTGACAGAAGGGAAAGGCAGGGACTGGGAGAGTAAGAACTGCCTGCTGTAGGAGAAGGTCAGGTTCAAGAACATCTAAGAAGCTTGAAAGTGCAGAAGTCCATGAGACCTTATGAGACACATCCACAGATCCTGAGGGAATTGGCAGATTCATTAGCTAAGCAATTATACATATTTAAGAAGTTGTGGCAGCCTGGTGATGTTCTCACTGACTGGAAAAGGGGAAACATAACCCTCTTTTACAGAAAGAGAAAAAAGGAAACCAAACATGTACCATGCAACACAACTGTCATACAAGAAATATTAGACTCATCTATATCTTGCTTTTTACCCAGGAAAACGATGTTAGGGTCTCTGTTAAAAATTCCCCCAAAGCTCCATCCCATTGTGAAGTGTAGGCAAAAAAAAAATAAAAAAAATCAAGCATATTACAGACAGAGATAGAAATAAAATACTTACCTTTATTTGCATTGTATTAATGGGAGAGCTTGTTTGACAGTGCAGTGGTCCATGTGTCTGAATGTGAAGAATATAAAGAAGAAATTCTTCTCGACTGGACACAGGCCAACCGACATGGAGAACTGTATTGTTGATGGCACTTGGTCCTATATTGTGCAGCTGTCAAAGAAATGTAATCAGTACTTTCCAAGGCAGTAAATAACAACAAAAGACACAGCAACAACCACTTAGGTATTTTCAAATTCTTAGTGTCCACAGCTTTGAAGTATTTTGGAAAGAATGTATAGATTATTAACATTGCTTTATTGATGGAGAATCTCTGGCAGGTAGGAGACAAGGACCTCTGTACATTAGTCATAAAGCCAGTGGCAAATCTGGTGGCAAATCTGGGAGAACAGCATTTTCTATCATTCTGTATTCAAGAAATCCGACCCCTTTCTCATTTTTTCCTACATATGAAGAGTTGAAATTACCTAAAAAAAACCCCCAACACAAAACACACTAGCAAAAAACCGCTAAAGAACTATGAACAATGAACTATAACAGATCATACTTGAAAATAGTAGTCAAAACTTCAGAATACAAAAGAATCATACTTCAGGGCACAGGAATAGAAGGTATAGCAGAACTTTAGCTTCTCTGGTTAAGAACTCTATTTTCAATACTTGCCAATTCAGATTTCCTCAAAAGAAGAAAAGTAACCAGTTTTCCTAAGGTAACATCCCAGAACATTATTATTTCTTGGAAAAAAGAGCAAAGATAGAAATAATAACATTTTAAAAATCTGGGCTATTAAAATAGTTTTCTTATACTAGTTTACAATATGAAAATATCTAATGACCACAGGAAGTCTGGATATGTGTTATAACTGTGCATGAAAATCTAAAGATGCTGAACACCATGGAGATTTATGCAAAGTTTCTAGAGATGTGACAACCTCCTTTTTTTTAATGTGTAGAACTTTTGTGACTGATGAATTTTATTTAGAACTATATAAAACCCATTTTCAATCTTACATCTTCTGGGAGGGTGTTTGACCTTTTTTATGCTTTGCTGATATAAACCATGAAAATGGTTTCCTTAATAAGTGTAACTAATCATTGTAACTATTTTAATAAATTTGAAGTCACATATATAGTTTCACAAACAATCCAACTGCTTGAGACAAAGATTTTTTAGGGATTTTTCAGTTTGGAGAAATGTGTTAAGATGAGGAATTCACAAATGCTAACTTGTATTTTACAGTCTGATTCATTACAGTTTAGTATGTCATGCAAATTGTAATCTTACATTGCTGATTAAGCTCTGTTGCTTATGTTTTCTTGAGGGCTAGTTTGTGAATTATAACCATATGTGAAGCACTCTGTTTTACCCTCTAGAATAAAGGTCATCTATTAGATTCTAAGGATGGCCTGTATTCCATGTAGTTTACTCAATGCCCTTTTTCTATGCTGAACTCTTCTCTTTTAATTGACAAATCATCCAGAGGAAAAGATCAACAACAATAAAAGGTAGAAACATGTGTTCTTCAAATATTGAGGGTTATTTTCAGCAGATCATTTTCTGAGCAATGAGGTAACAAGTTACATGTATGTCCAGAATTTTTTCTCAGTTAGCTAAATGTCAAAGGAAAAATTTTTTCCTGTGCACAGCACTCACAGCTTCTAATGAGAAGGTATTTGACATCGATTAGAATGAACTTTTAAGCACTGTTTTTAATTCTTGTCTAACACCCAAAATGTTTATAAATCCTTTAAATATCAAAGACAGACTCCTAACATAAACCAACATCTCCTCCACTCACATGAACAGATAATGGGGTTGTGAATTCCCAGATTAAATTTAGGTCATGTGCTAAAGTCAGAATATTTACATTTGTGGCTTTATCTAGCTGCAGATAAAGAAATTAAACCAAATTAATCAGGATTTCAATGGGGGTAGTGTGGGGTCCTGTGGCAACATATATAATTTTTACCTCATAGATGTGTTCTACTAAAGGACCAACTTCTTCTTCTTTTGTAGGTTCATCTTTGGGTTCCCAGTTGTGAAGTGGCAAAATAATTGTTGGGGGGTGAGACACTCTGTAATATACAAAACAGGTTAAAAGGGTAATTGATAACAGTGACTGACTGCATCACTTTTAGAAAAAAAACTAAGACCAAAACTGAGCTCTCAAGGGCTTGTTATTTGGGCACATTAATTCGAATTAGGTGAGGTGAACACTACATTGCTTTCATAAAGTACTATCCAGTCCTTACAGATGACTGGGGGTGTGCATTTATTTTCATACTTCCTCTGATGGATGATCCTTTCCAGACAAGAGAGTAACTCTGTTGGTAGAGAGGACACCAGTCTCTTGGGCATTTACATCATTCTCACTGATATTCAGATATCTGAATATATTATCAAAAAACCGGAGTAATGATACATAAATAAATGTATTTTCCCATTCCCATTTAAAGCCTGTAGCTGTTTAAAGCTATGCATCTTTCTTCCCTGCATAACATTTTTAGGTATTTAACTGTTCTGATTATAAATTTCTATAACCTCCGTTCTTATTCCTTTAAAAACCCTTGCAAAGTAGTCTATCTCATTTTACAGGTGGGAAACCGACACACTGTGACTTCCATGAAGTCATATTGGAAATTGGTGTATTGAGAAACTGAACTCAGAACTAGAGCCTGAAATAGTGCTCCAGGCTTTCCAACTGCTTTGCAAAGGCAGGGACAGCTAAGGCATTCCCTGAAATACTGTTGCAACTTGTAACACATGAATAAAACATAAATGAAGAAAACAGTGACTTAATATTTGATATCTTTCTTTCGATCTGCTATTTTATCTTTCCTTCTCTATCCAAGAAAGTAGTCATCTGTTAACATTTCTATTTGAATCACAAACATTTTACTTCCAATAAAAATTGGAAGTTTCTTGTACAGATCCCATTCAGATGCCAACCTAATCTCACTCAGGTGTTCAGAAGTTGGGGTATCAGAACCCAAGAATTTCTTTCAGAATGGTAGGTGAGTTTTGGCACAGACATCTGTCATCTGCTAATACTGCAAGTAGATCTTGGTGCTAAAATGGTATTACCCTTTCTTTGCAAGGGTGAAATCTCACTCAGTTTTGCTGGTTTACAGAGTCATAGAATCATAAAATTATAGAACCAGCTGGGTTGGAAAAGACCTCCAAGATCAACAAGTCCCACCCTTGATCCACTACTACCACCACTACCACTAGACCATGGCACTAAGTGCCACATCCAGTCTCATCTTAAAAACCTCCAGGGACGGAGAATCCACCACCTCCCTGGGCAGCCCATTCCAATGCCTGATTAGCCTCTCTCTAAAGAATTTCTTCCTAATATCCAACCTAAACCTCCCCTGGCACAGCTTAAGACCATGCCCTCTTGTCTTACTGATAGCCACCTGGGAAAAGAGACCAACCCCCACCTGGCTACAACCTCCTTTCAGGTAGTTGTAGAGAGTGATGAGGTCTCCCCTGAGCCTCCTCTTCTCCAGGCTTTAGCTTAAAAGCCATACAATTTCAATGCTTGTTCTGCCAAAGCAGGAAGTTTGCTGACAGAAAACTGTTAAAAAAAATCACTAAGGACTTTTTTTAGAATATAACATTTGAATAAAATGATGGACTTCTAGGCACTGATGTTAATCACTTTGTACTGCTGCAGATTGCCCCTTGAAGAAGAGAATATTGGATGGTTCTGTTGCAAATTCTGACAAAATACTTTAGGAGGAAACAAACTGTTCTTGCTTACAGTTCTTACGTCACATACAAAGAATGAAATGTCTGAAAGAACGTTTCCTACAGCATACAGTTTCTCAAAGCACCAAGGAATCCCAGAGAACAATTTAATATCATTCAGTTAAAGTACAACTCTTTGTGAAATTTAGGGTATCCTAAGTAGTTCCTCAGACTTCAAAAGGCCAGCAGTTTGTACTAACAAGTATGCCAGAGGACAAATTCACAAGCTAACCCAAATAATAAAGAAAATTAAACATATTTATTAAAAAAGACATTTCACAAATGGTCCTGTTTCCAATACGAATTTTAATTATTGATTGTTGTTGGAGAATAGGAAATTTCCTGTGTTGATCCAACAGCCAAGGCACATAGACCCCCAAGCTACAGCAAAAATTTGCAAATCAGAAACTCTACACAGACAAAAAGAAGCAGGCATGGTTTCAAAAACTAGTGGTTTCTATTGCATTCCCTGGGAAGTGTTTTTCTTATCCACAGAATTATAAAATTCAGAGTGTAAATGTAGACATTCAATTAAAATTATTCTAAATATAAAAGGACATTTATTTTAACAGATTTCAGAGTTATTTTGAGGACTTCTGCTATTGACATAAAAGTAGAAACACCAGGTCAAATGAAAAAGAAATCCTTTCTTTTGACTATTTTATTTTGCATTTAACTGAGAATATTTTTAACATTTGAATGATTTGTTAGGCAAGGATTTTTCCTAGACTTTTATGTGACAATTAGCAGTCAAATAAGAGCACTGAAAAATAAGATAAACAAAGTATGGTCTACAGAAAAGGCTTATGTGGGATATACAATAAGAATTCTGCCAGCTGCAAATCCTCCTAATCCAAATGACTTCCTTCCTGAATTCCTCATTCCTCTGGTGCTTTTTTCAGCAGTGGCAGATAACAATTACAACACTAAAACTCTTACATTTTTATAGAAAAAAAGATAAGCAAAATAATCAAATTTCACTTATCAAAGTAACTGCTCATTGAACTATCTAAGGAGTTCTCTTAATTTTCTTTAGAAGACAATATTGGAGAAGATTTCTTCCTTTTTCAGAGAGGAAATATTTGCATGGTTCCACTGTACAGGTATACATGCATGTATGCATATTCAAAATTTCCTAACTCCTTACTTTTCCTCAGTAAAATGTACAACATATCCAGCTCCACTTCATGGAACTTTGTGCAGAGCAGTAGAGAAACCAATGCAGGATACTTTCCTGTCCAAATGTAGACATAGTCTGTTTTATTTTTATCTAGGAAATAGTGAGCAATTCCCCTGGAATTGCATGTTTTAGCATCTCTGAGTAATTAGCAAAATCTGTGAACAAAGCACTTTGTACAAGCATGCTATAGCTAAGAAAATGAAAAGACTTAAGAGGAAAGAAACTGGAAGTCATTCAATTAATTCCTCTGTATTTAATGACCGGTTTCTTAGCATTACCTGCAGCAATTCAAGACTCTTTTTCTGCTTGTTGCCAAGCTCTTAAAAAGTGAAGATGTTTTGGTCATTTTCAGTCTATCTATTTACCTGTTACAGAACTTTTCATTAAAAGGAACACACAGAGAGAACATGTTGGAGACAAAAAGTTTCCAAAAAGTTTGCAAAGAAAAAATGGTTTGCAAAATTTTTCTGTGAAAGTGACAAGAAACCTCACTAAAAGACCAGAATCCACAGCACTGGAAGCAGCCCTTACTGAGAAGTCCTGTGTGTGTAACCACAACTCTTCCGCTGATACACTGAGACTCCAGCCAGCCTGTAACCTGGGTGTTCACCCGTGGCAACATCTGAGCTGCTGGCTCCCAACATTTTCTCACACATCTGTAGCCCATTAAATAACACCTTTGATTGTTATTTCCTCAGCCTCTACTTCTGTTTCTGTGTTACCCTCATTTTGTATTTTTCACCTCTCTTCCTATCCAGCTCATTTCCCTAGGTCACTACTAAATACAGAAAAGGAAATAATATTCTCACTTCTGTTCTTATTAAACATGTTGTTTTTCAACTGCTCCTTTTCAGAAGTTCAATCATTAACATATATCCACACAGTCTTTGAGTGCTAGTCCTTCTTTTTTCCACCTAACTCTAGTTTTAGGATTAGTCTTCTTTACCTGGAATACACTTACAAAATATGATGAAAAATACTTTTAAAATCTCACTGATTTAGCTTGAATATTAGAGAAGAAAACATGGGCTCTGTGATCTGCACAATTATTTGACTTATTGCTGGCACTATGTAGTTATATTGTCTTAAAAGAGATAACAACAAATAGTTTTTATAAATACATACATTTTTATTTGTTTGCACCTAAGGTAGTCCCTTGAGGTGCGTTG